CGTGCCCTCACGGTAAGTCAATGTTCCATTAGTGGTTCCAGCCCATTTCAGAATATAGCACAGACCCCCCCTGGGGGTGAAAAAAGATTTCCGCTGCGGAAATGGTTGGAGGTGTTTACGGCAAAGATTGACTTTTTACCATGGCTATGCCGGACCCAGACCCGGACAGCTCATGTCCGGGGACTGAACGCATGTCCGGTCGGGTCCGGACTTCCGGACATGCATGGTTCTGGATGGTCCAAACCGGTAAGCAGGTCCAGAAATGTCCAGACCAACCTTTTCTCCTACACAAGGTTGCACCTCCTCATGCTTGCCTGGAGAGCCAGATGCTCCTTTGAAAGGAAGGACCACCAATTTGGTTTGCAGCAGGCACAACAAGCCATCATGGAAGACATCAGGGCCGTGACCCAGCAAGCCTGGAAGTCCATGAAGCGACAACACTTCGAACAGAAAGACCCCCTTGCCAGACAAGCGATCCGCGACTCCTACATGCAAATATGGCAGGACCCGAAAGGATTGTTTTCGGTCCTGGACACTGATCTGACATCATATGGAAACCATGGAGGCCCACCGAACCCACTTTGCAGAGGAAACCCTTCGCTGAGTTCCAGGTCCCCTATCTCCAACCTAACTCCTCCCGAGCTAACTGCCACACCCCCCACCACACCCATTGCAACCAGCCCAGTCACCACGGCCCCCCCACCCCCCCGCTGCCCTGCACCACCGCCACCTCTCCTCGTCCATGCTCCCCCCCCTCCCGCTGCCCCGCCGCCATCTCCCCCCGCTCATGTCCTCCCGACCGCTTAACTTGGTGGCACGCGGCTTACAGTGGCCAGAACACGAGGAACAGATGAAGGTTGGAGTGACAACAACAACAGTAATGGCACCAATGACCGGAGCAACAGCCGTTGTCTCACTGCTGCATGCCCTGCAGTTGGAACTATGAAGACCGATGCATCTAAGGGAGCAGGGCCCTCAGGCCACGAATGCAGCCCAGTGAAGGGATACCGCGATCGAGCAGGCTACGATGTAACGGTTCAAGGGCTTAAGGGTGCATGGGGTCGTGGCCGCACTCTTCAAGGCGCAGGACTGCATTACACACCAAACGCGGCATCGCATTGGATTGCATTCCACCTTATTGCTGATCCTCAGGCTTCAAGGATCACGAATGTGTTATGCATGGGGCTTGAGAGGGGATGGGGTTTTAAGGGTTTAAAGGGTTTAAGGGAACAGACATAGCAGTAACAAATAGGGGGGCTGCTGAATAGGGATGGGTTAACAGAAAAGGGGCGCTCCAAGAAGGGATGGGTGATACTGGCAGCTCCATGGGACAACGGAGCCACAGTCCTAGGAAACAACAAACAACATTCTGTGTGTTATAAGATAGATCAATGGGACGCTGGACCCGGTTTCCAGCAGGTGCCGCTCCCCACCAATAGATGGAGCAGCCCGATAGATAAGCCCTCAATTTGGACAGTTCTCCTACCACCGCCGGAATCGAGGGCCGACTCAAGGGCTATTTTCTGAAAAAAAGAAATAAATAAATAGAAATAATCTGACAAAAAAAGTATGTTATGCCTAGGAAGATTTTCATGCCCGGCCGGGCACCTGGGCATGACGCCCAGGGGGGATGTGCAAAAAAGAAAAGAAAAAAACTTCTTTTTTTTTTGTTTGGTTTTCTGCGCTCTCTCAGAGGACCACTTTTTTTTTTTTTTTTTTTTTTTTTTTTTTTTGAAACGCCCCTTCCAGTGTTAGTGGTGCTGGTAAGAGCAGACACCACTAGCACCTGAGGAGAGGCTCCATCTATTGGTGGGGAGCAGCACCTGCTGGAAAACGGGTCCAGCGTCCCATATACAGATTGAATTTGGAGTGTGGCAGGAAAGAGGTTGTGTAAGACTCCTGCCATCATTGATTACTATGGAAGCCAGAGGATTGACTGAGCAGTCCAGCGTCCCATCATACATCAAGCAGGCCTGTCAGCATTGATTACCCATGCAGGGGATTTAATGAGCTGCATGGGTCCTGGGGACCGTCTCACGCAAGAGTGCTCACATCATGCGTCATCATAGCTCACAATGAACTGAAGTCTTCACACATTAGACAAGGATAGGTGAGAAGAGTACCGAGTTGCACAGCTTATATTATCAAAGATGTCATTTACAAAGAGTATCACAGATCCCTGAGTTCAGCGCTTAGCAGCGCAATACAAATCTCTCTTATCCAACTCGTCAATGCGGCTTCTACTCATCAGCGCCACATCTGCAGATCATATCTAACTCAGGTAAGTATTCTCCATAGCCAAGTCTTGCTGAACACTCTCTGTCTCAGTCCCTTCCTCAGATGATGCATACACACTCTTCTCTCTTAAGGATCTACTCTGAATGCTACTCATAGAATACTACTACTAACCCTCTAAGTCTAATACTAACTCGCAGGGCAGCTATGGCTGCATCTCTTTCCAGCGCACAGTCTTCTTCCCTCACATAGCGCCACTTCATCCTCCAGCGCTGCTCCTCCTGACTGGCGCACAAGTGCTTCAGCACTTCCACGCGCAGAATGCCAGTGGAGATCTGGCATTGAATGAGGCTGGCTGCTTCCTTTATAGCACTGGCCTCCTCTTCGCTGGGTCTGCATTGGCTAATTCAGGCCTTCCCTTGTCCCAGACCCTGCATTGCATGTGTCCCAGGACTGTCCCAATGAAGTCAACTGCTGCTGAGGCCTCTCGGCCTAGATTTTGGGCTTGGACATCTGGATCTGGACTGTCCCTTAGACTAAGACCAGAACTGGGACTCTGTTGATTGACTTACTTTCGAACAGGTACAACTTTGGACGAACAGACACACATACTGCCTGAACAGACATCCACACTGTGTGAATAGACAATCCCTTTCTGCACGAACAGACACACTGACTACACGTACAGACACATCCTTATCCGAACAGACATGACATGTGCATCTCCTGGCAAACAGGTAGGTCCTTCTGCAATGATCTGTTGCTTTAGTTTAGGAAGTGCCCTTTGACCAGAGAACCTGACCTTTGGTCTGCTTTCACGTTTCCTGAGTTCTGGCGAGATACCCCTTTCACGCTGCTTTACTTTTACAAGGTCTGAATCGGGTAAAGGCCCTTTTAGAGCAGGCGGTACGGCACGTTGTTTTATACATAAAATGTGTGATGAACGTCGCTTGGAGACATATTTGCAGAGACATATTTTCAGCCTTTGTTCGGCCGCCAGATTAAGCACCTCTTCCTAATTTGACTGCGCTATTTATTATAAATCCGGTCCTTTCCGCACTTCCTGTCACCGCCTGGATGTTCGCAGACTTGCAGGGGCCAAAAAGTGTTGCATAAACTTTTGCTTCCCCGGGGGGCGATTCCTGGCCGCTGGGCACAGGATACCTCAAGTGAGGGTCTAGACTAAAGAAAGCGGGTGAGGGGGGGAAGGGGTCCAAAAAATCAGAAGGGGGTCTCGTAGGGAAGGAGAGCTCAAAATTAGTCCAATCATTGAAAGCGAGGTGGTAATCTCTGGAGGGGCCCAGTGCCGCTCTGGAAAGCTGGTCCCCTCTCAGTTGGTCCCCTCTCAGTTGGTCCCCTCCCCACTGTACCCTGGCCACCCATCCCTCTCAGTCCCCCTCAAGCCAGTCTGTGCAAAAGACAGTGAGAGCCCTCTTGATATCTTGGTCCRTTTGAAAAGTATCCAGCTGGTGTTTYAGGTCATGCCATCTGCGTAGCAATTCCAGCTGAACCTGTTCCTTAATTTGTCCTATGAGCTCCCCATCCCCTCCTCTAACGCTTTCCAGGTTGAGAAGGCAGCATTGCCACCACAGGGCCCAGAGGATTGTTCTTCTGCCCAGGTTGAACCAGTTTTCCGTGTGGGAAGAAAGCCATAGCCATTGCCGGGCAGTGTCCAGTCAGGATTGCTTGCCAGGACCATGGCCAGGGTGTATCCGGTATCATCTTACGCCACACCCGGTCTCACCAGCACCACGTCAGTACCGCCACCGGGCACTGCAGGAAAATGTGTTCAATGGTCTCGT